TGTGACACGCCGTAAGGACACCAGCTCCTTAAAGACGATCAACATGCCACTACGTCTAGTTTTACAGAAAGAAGGACGGGTGGTAAAGATAGGAGATATTTAAGAACGTTATGTGTAAAAATACGGTTAGAAAGCAACCAGATGCTGTATTGATCAATGTCGTAGAGATGTGATAATGCCAGTTGTGTAAGGGTCTGGCTCCAGATCCACAAAACCTTCGTAGCCTTTGATAAACTATAGAGTTACGACAGGTCGTAACTTTACGAACGCTTAGTCGAACCTGGTTTCAATCCGGAGAATATATTAAAAAATAAGGACGATAAAAGCAGTAGATGTTATTGGTATTTGACATTTCTACAACGTATTTTCGAAACTATTATTTTCACGGTGAGAGGACGTATTATGGTTTTATGCCATTGTTACCGATTTTGGGGGAACACCAAAGTAGACTGCGCACATTGTACCCAAGTAGGAAGACAAACCCGTCAGGGCCTGTGGCCCGACGAACAAACGCTTTAGCCACATAACACTCGGTTAATAATTTTGAATTAAAGTAAATACGAAAGATGATTTAACCTTATGCATGTATATGACATGTGATATGAAAAAATGATCAAACTGACAGAAAATGTTATAACAAGATAACTTTATACAAACACACACATAATCAATGCTTGTAAGAAACGTAACTGAGACTTGAATTTACTCATGAAGGGATGACAAATCAGCATAGGTACACACCACATAGGTACACACCAACCCAACGTTTTCGCAGTGTTGTGGGAAGGTTGTGGCTTGGTAACGTCATAACACAACGTTGGTATTACGCCATTTTATAACGTTATGCCACAATGTCACGATAGAGTTTATGTGAAACGTTATGTCACGATAGAGTTTATGAGAAACGTTTCACTTTGAGATTCTTTCTTCACTGTTCAGCTACAGCTTCAGAAAACACGAAATAAACATTATAAACGTTAAATAGAACGTTGAGACAACGTAAATTACCTTAGTATCAAATAACTTTAACTTGTGGCGGCGTAAAACTGACGCATCACAACGTCAGGCCACAACGTTGTGACAACATAAGTGGGAGTTCACACAATATCGTTGTAACAACGAAAGCATAACGCTCTGACAAAACGTGAAATTGTTAGCTGGGAACCTACATGTACGCTAGTTGTAGGAGGTCACAAAACCGTACCCGATGACCTTGATCGTTCCTCACAGTGTTTATAGCTGGATTGTCTGGTTCACACTTGAATATTTATAGTATCCAAAATTGCTGAGCATTGTTAAACATGAGACAACTGGTAGCATTAAAAAAATACAGATTCAAAGTGCACATGATTAAGGCAAGTTAATCAAATCAAGAATTAAGAATAACACACAATAAAAGAGTTTCTAGTCAGAGTAGGATGGGTGTCCAACTGACGTGAACACCTGGTGTCGAACAAAATTAGCAATTACTAAGTAAATGAGAAAACGCCAATAACACGAGAATTTGTCATTGTGTAAGTCATCAAAAGACTGTTTATTACTCACTGTGAATTATCTTAATTGACAATGTACAACATACAGGCACATTTTTGTGACAAGGATAAACAGAGAAAGATATTTTTAAACAGGCAGAAAGGAGTAAGAAGTAAAAACAGTTTGCTCAATGCTTCAGCTCAGCAATACAGAGAAATGCATGCTGGCAAAACGTGCCTTTAGAAAGGGCAATAGATTACCAGTAGCAGAAAGAATTGGTAGAAATGAAAATGATCATTTACATGGCTCTGACTGTAATGTAGAAGAGAAAACAGATGGTTCAGATATTGAAACACAATGAAGAAAATGTTGGTTTAATGTTGATATTTGACAAGAAACCTCTTTCCTGTGAATGTACATATATCCTCCTCACAGTATGTAATGTAAACGTATCAGTAACATATGCCTACATCAAATATATAATAAAAGATCCAACTGTTTCTCTCGAAGAAGTAGGGACATATTACTATTTTTCAGCTTACTTATATTATCTTTCTATACACGGATAGACAATGTGGAAACATTGTCATAGGATAATTGTACAGCATATATAGCGACTGTATTTAGTCTGCATCCTGAGAGTAAACTCATAGTTTCACTTGCTATTAAATATCCTCCCAACAGCGAGATGTAAGGGGAATGTTCTACTAATTCAATCATGGATTAACCCCTGATGGGTTTCAGACCGTGCCATCCCCATTTTGTTGCACATACATCTACCATAGGTTGTAAGATATAGTTTCATTCCAGCATGGAATATCTAGAAAACGGCTCAAGAATTCCATTGGGGAAGCAGTATGCAATATAATACTTGGATTCAACACTGCAAATAAATCGATTATACTCAAATCTAGTTTGCAAATTTAACAGTGCACAATTCAATGCCTCTTTTGTTTCCAAATTATAATTAAATTATATATATTTAAGCGCTCTTGCATTGAACTAAAATGTAGTTTTTATGTTGTTAAATTTGCGGAAGTGAGTGAGTTTAGTTTTATGCCGCTTTTAGCAGTATTCCAACAATATCAGTGGGGGTACACCGGAAATGGGCTGTACACATGTGGACAGTTGAACCCTGGTCTTCGGCACGACGAGCGAACACTTTATCCACTAAGCTACCCCACCGCCCCAACATTTGCAGAAAATACACATTGGACGTAAATAGATGAGTGTGTAGGTTTCGTTTAATGTCGCTTTGAATAGTTATTAAGTTATGTTATGTCATATCTAACTAATATTAAAGGACGGATACCATTTTGGTTGAAGGAAGTGAGCATGGGTATCATGAGAATGTAACATGAATCGAAAGGAGGACGATTCTGGTATTCGAACCCATGAAACGAATTTTGTCACACCTACGGGGACGTCAAATGTCTTAGAGAGTTTTTTCCTTTCCAATCATTTACGGGTGCGAGAGTGAGTTTAGTTTTACGCCGCACTCAGCAATATTCCAGCTATATGGCAGCGGTCATGTAAATAATCGAGCCTGGACCACAAAATCCAGTGATCAACAGCATGAGCATCGATCTACGCGATTGAGATACGATGACATGTGTCAACCAAGCCAGCGAGCCTGACCACCCGATACCGTTAGTCGCCTCTTACGACAAGCATGATTTACTGAAGATCAATTCTAACCCGGATCTTCACGGGTCCAATCATTTTTAAGAGGTGATTTAGAGGTGTTGCATTGCATTCTATGTGTCATATTTGATATTCCCAATTTGTTCAAGGAAAAATGTTATCAAGGGTGTATATTCCCTGACTTATAGCTTTTATGTTATTGTTTATGTAGAACGTATATTACTGTTTATGCTTAGTTTCCTCCCTCATATTCAATTTAACTTTTTTACAACCGATTTGGTTCCATTAATTATTACAATATAAGGCATTCATTTAAATCTTCATCATCACAGAAATGCTAATATTATTCTGCATTGACCTTTAGCGTCACGGTAAGATATAAAATGTGTAATTTGGAATATGTCTAGCACATGGTGAACGAGAATTATGTTCCGTATGGAGCATCGTAAGTAGTCTTAAACGCCCTCCGGTAATCGTATTACACACGTGAGGTGTAACGTTTCCTATAGAACATGTGAAAATAGTATTAAACTGCACTAAGCACTCTTGTGGAAAGCATTAGGTACACGTTCCGATATCCTTGCAAGATTGTAGAAACATCTTTACACGCTTAAAACGAAGTATTCTTTAAAGAATAAGGTGAGGTGTTTATTTATAACACCTTCATATATTATGATACTTATTGCTGATTCAATCATGTTAAGAAAAGTGAACATAAAGGCAGACAACCATGCAGAAAAGATGCAGGATGAATATTAGTTATATCACTTCTGGCAAACAGTCAGGCGCATTCCGGATAGATAAAGCTGAAAAGTATTTTGATGATATGTTCCCGCCCATGGCAATTTGCCAGTTTAACAAAAACGAAGGTATAAGGCGACACCCACACAACATACTTTAGTTGACTTTTAGAAGATTCTATATATATATTTTCAACAACACTACGGCGGATTGACGCTTTCTTGTATTTACCGGAAAAACGGTACATGGACATTTGCCAATGTTCTTTACACTGTGGTTCCATTGGCATGGCTGTACATGTGTTTGCGTGTTGTGTAAGAATAGGAAAATAATTGGTTTAAGCCAGTTATGCAGGCATAAAATCAACATAGGCCGACGTGATTTCAGAACGCGATGTGCGTACTTTATAGGATAATCAAATTTGTCTAATTTCATTATTTAAGTAAACTAGAAATATCTTTGCATTTCGGAGTGCAATAAGCAAATCCATGCTAAAGACATAACTGATAACCAGCCCCCAGTCGATAAAATGGGGAATGGAAGCGGGATAGCAAGTTCGAACAAATTATTTTCAAGGAAGAGTTATTTCAGATGAATCAGAGTGGTAATGCTCCAGACGTCATAAGCGGTTTTTAAGGAAATTCCATAATCACACTTTGCCACTGTGTGCCCTGAAGCGGCTGTCGTAATATATCTGGCAGTTCTTGTTGAACTGAGACATGGTTCAGCTCCATTTAAATCACTTAGTGGTAATGTAACACAATTTTCTTTTACGCCGGTGCGTAAGTATGGAATTTTCAAATCGTTAAAGCACATAAGCATCTAGGAATACGAGTATATGATGAAGGTTTGTATATGGCACCATTCCAGGCATTTGTTGTTCTTAAATATATCAAGTACACGTTCTTTCTTAAACTTATCGCGAAATTGATTCCATTGGCCTGACGTACGAGTTCGTGGAATTCAACGATTATCGGTAACCTTATTTCAGCAGGATCTTAGAATACACATTCTTGGCCTCTTGACATCCTCTTGTGAAAAATAACCAATCAGAATTACAATATCAACCACTTATATGAGAGCATCGCAAAATATGCATCAAGAAAGCTTGCGGATGCCATGCTATAAGCGAAATTACTTACCTTTGTATTTTCATCATCATGAGAGGAATTACTGTATAAGCAGTGGTAGCGCCGTTGGTTCACTGCGCATGTCTTCACCGGATGGTAGTTATGCCGTTATATAACACACTTTTGGCTGGTAATAACCAAGTTTACGCCAAATGGAACCCTGTGAAGGCAGAGAGTTCATATCCTGATAAGTAAGTAGCACCTTGGAACAAATTTGTTCTATCGTTTTCTTTTACGGTAACCATGGTGATGACAATATAGTAGGTGAGACACTGTAATCAGGATGTTGCAATAACACCACGCATGCGTTACATGTTCAGGTAACGTTGTTCGTGTTCCGTTGTAGAGAGCTTTTTGCTGTGGGTGAGCAAACAGTAAAACCGTTAATAGCTTAAATGAACATCCAAAAAATGTTGATTAGCGTTACACTGAAGTTCAGGTAGAACGCATACGTGGAGTTATCATGCCACAGCTGTGAACCCCCGCTTGTATTAATAACAAGCGTAACTGGTTATCAATTGCAAAGTGGTATTGATGTATGAAACGAAATTGAGGTTGGGGAAAGTTGGCAACTCTTTTTACCAAAAGGACGACTGGACGAGAACGATCCTGTTGTGTTTTATGAAAGAACAAACTTATCAATGCTGTATAAAAAGGTTGCACACGACTCTAAAACTATTCCAAGGAGAGCAAGAAATATTTAGAATTCATCTTCTACGAAAAATAAACATCTGGTTCAGCATTTGTAATGCACATTGATTCCTGAAAAGACGACACTTCAATATCAGTTAGAACACACCGTCAGAGCAAACTGATTTCCTTCACAGCAGTGAGCTAGAACCATTCCGTGATGCGTGTTTGTTTTCAAAACCTGTGATAATCTTGAAAGTTCAGAATCCTGCTACTCGGGTTCTCACACGAACACAACAATTGGTTGAACTGTCTTCCGCTGCACAGCGACGCCGATAGCAGTAATCCTCTCTGTCAAAGTACATGTAAGTCAAAGCAGACACCGCCTAGATATTAAGTGACTATGACCACTAAACGCCACACCGTGACACAGTAACCAGGTAATGATCCCAGGGAAACACACAAACAGTTGCAATCGTCATAACCGACTTAAATATTAAGGCATTGGCATGAAAGACCTTCTGCAGCCGTTTATAAGTCTGTGCATACCCACACCAAGGCAAGTCCTTCTAACATCATACCTGCCACGAGTATTTGTAAAACCACAGGTGCGTGCCATGCCAAGAAGAAGCATGCCTCCTCAAGAAGTTATACCACCGAGCTGTAAAAGCTAAGGCGTGTTCTAACTTCCATCTCCTCTACGACTTAGAGCTGTATATCGGGCAAGTCAAAAACCTTGTTTGGGACCAGGTACAGGCTTGGTAATTGGTTGTAGCTGCTAGTGAAGAATATGTCTACGCGGCGCTGCGCTTATCATGAAACCTGCCCAATCTAATAATATCCTCTTTCGTTGGCGAATGTATCAATGAGAGATTTAACAGGTGTGTGCATCGAAGTGACTTTGCGAAATCAGGGGCGTTTTGTTAGTTGGATAAATAGGCTTTCATTCTGACAAGTGATATGTAACAACTGCATTAGATATCTATGCATGTCGATTTGTGAAACTACTTCAGAATCTCATATATACGTGTGTGAGCATCATGTATAAGAAAATGGAAAAAGAGGTAATTTGATATGATTTAACTTCTGAAGAGTGTCAGATAAGACACTGTAAAATGAAACCTGTATATGTTGTGGTAAGTGTTTGACGCTCTTTAACATCTGTTTCCAAACGTTAACTCTCGTTGGATGGATATGTGTTAAGTGTATGAAGTATTACTGTTGGTGAGTACTATAACACAAGAATTTTGTTGAAGTACATTGAACTGAATGTGATCTTGACCTACGCCATACACATGCACCCATGTCATTAAGAACAGTGAAGCACGTGTGTCGTGCACATAAACTGGATTCTCAACTTACCGCATGTCGCAAACTCAATTATCATCCAAATATAAGAAAAAAAGTGTCTATCAATTTTTTAAAACAGACGAATAGAAAAGCATACACATACTCTCATATAAATCGAATGAAATTCATTCCTCATTACATCGATGTTTTATCGATAACATCTGTTACGGTTGTTATTGTTGTTGTTGTCTTATAGTTATAAGGTAGAATTGGTTTTTCTGACAATTCGAAGAATCAGGCATTCGATTGTATTTATAGGTCGAATTTTACAAAGACATATACTCTCCGTCTTTGGCACCAACTCGAGGAAAGTCAGTTTGAGTGTCACATGGAGACGTGTGGTGGCGCTGAAGTCAATACCTCGTGTGACCACCGTGGGCATCGAGAACTGCACGGCATCGCCTCGGCATCGAAAGAATAAGTCTCAGAATCTCGTGTTGCCAAATCGCAGGCCACTCTGCCTGTCGTGCCTGTTGCTGAAGTGTCTGGAGCTGAGGGTTATGGCGTCGCACCCGTCTGTCCAGGGCATCCCACAAATGTTCGATCGGGTTTAAGTCCGGTGATCTTGAGGGCCAGGGGAGCACATTGATGTTGTGGTTCTGGAGGAAGTCTCTAGTGTGACGTGCTGTGTGGGGCCTGGCATTGTCCTGTTGAAACAACTCCCTCTGGCGATCAATGATTGGAAGGAGGTGTGGGCGTAGGATTTCGTCACAGTACCGTTGAGCTGTCAGGTTGCCCTGGATCATCACCAAATCACTTCTCCTACGGCAGGTGATAGCTCCCCACATCATAACACCTCCCCGGCCGAATCTGTCCACCTGGGGAACGCAAGCGTCGGCGAAACGTTCACATCGACGTCTGTACACCCGCATTCTTCCATCGCGTCGTTCCAATAGAAATTGTGATTCATCACTGAACCAGATTCTACTCCAATTCGGTAGGTTCCAGGCCTGAACGTTGGTGCACCATTGAACTCGATGTCGACGATGTTGTTGTCGAAGCACAGGGCCAAAATAAGATCTTCTGGCACGTAAACCAGCCTCTCTCAACCTGTTCCTGACGGTCTGTGCAGAAAGCCTCCTCAATCCGGGTATTTGTCGAGCGGTACTGGTCGCCGTAGCTGTTCGATGACGCAGGTGATGTACCCGGATGTAGCGATCCTGCGCCGCAGTGGTCGCTCGAGGTCGCCCACTACGAGGGGCATCTGCTACCGCATTCTGCCGGCGATATCTCTCCCAGAGCCGTGAAATGGTGCTTTGGGGAACATTCATGGGTCGGGCAACTGCACGTTGAGACTGGCTAGCTTCAAGCAAACCAATGGCGATATGACGGTTGGCTTCACTTAGACGTGGCATTTTGCGTTCAACAATATTCCAAATACTGTGAATAATCGACAGACAGCGATCAACCTTTTATACCCATCATTGAGACTATCTGCTCCCCAACTTTCACGTGCATTGCATGTGAATTGTGTACATTGTATTCTGTGACACTACACGCCGAAATTGAAAATCATGCTGTTAAATACGGGTATTTTACGGATGGTGCGTTTTGTTGTGATGTTTCAAAACATAAACACAATAGGACTCATAAACAGAGCAAAACCTTTTGTAAAATGAATCACGTTTTAATTCATTGCTACATGAAATTGCTATTTTCATGATGCGTTTCTTTTTTGGGAGAGTATATTTTCCCTTATAAATGTACTCTGATATATTCTCTGTTTCAGAATGTTTCCAAAAAGGTTGGTTGGTTAGTTGTTTAACGCCGCACTCAGCAATATGCCAGCTATATGGCGGCGGTCTGTAAATAATCGAGTCTGGACCAGACAATGCAGTCATCAACAACATGAGCATCGACCTACGCAATTGGGATACGATGACATGTGTCAACCAAGTCAGGGAGCCTGACCACCCGATCCTGTTAGTCAGCTCTTACGACAGGCATGGGTCGAACCCGGATCTCCACGGGTCCAAAATGGACACAAAAGCTGCTTTCCTAGGTTATACTGTGTATACACAGAGATACACAAATGCACTCTAGCGTATGTTGTAACATTAACCATATGAACTATCGTCGTCAGTGACAGTGTCGCCATGCAGAGTTGCGTCCCTTTAGTGTGCCACTTCCTTATAAACATGAGTTTGAATCCCTGTTTGCCCCGAATAATTTGTCTTGGTCTGTCAGCACCTTGTTTTACCAAGTCGTAAACGTCTAAGAACTTAATTTGATATGCTGTACGGTTCACCCGAAGTTACGTGGCTTCTCATTACTAAATCTGTGGCCTATTTTCATGTTGTGTAAACATTACAGGAGTTTGAATTTGTAACTGATGTAACATCATCAATGCATAAACATTCAGAAGTGATATCTAACATTTAAGCTTTGTCTGGAGATATTTTTAGCAAAGAACCAAAGAACATTATCAATGTTTCACAACACAACATAAATGAAGACACCTTATATATACGTGAGAGATTGCAAAACTTATAATAGATCTAGATTGTTAACCGACGAGCATCATTATATGGATCTAAGTCCTTATCATATAAAAGTATCAATGATAATGCGTCTGATTTAATTACGCAAATTCACATTGGTAGCGCAGCATAAACTATATGATTCCAGCAATGGAGAGTGAAAGCTACAGGGGAAGAAAATATCAATGCAGGCTTGGGTGCAAACGCTGTTCGCAATGACTTGTTTATTATGGATAGAATATTAAAATAATAGTCAAACATAACTTCAAGCCGAAATCAATACTCCAAGTGAGAATATTGGGTGCTGAACAGTAGCCGCAGCTATTCCTATCACGATTTGAGCTCGACATCGATCCAAGCAGTATTTCAAGGAGAATAATTACAAATCCATCCCAAAATGTTGTGTTGGCTTCGTTTTCGTCACTTTTCATGTTTATTTATGGAATCGAGGAAATCCAATTATTCCACAGTGAAAACCCATGTAAACATTCACAAATGACAGTGGCATTGGTACACACTGTGGCATCAAAGACAATAAACATCTGAACATTGCTTTAAGCATGCTGATCAAAGAATGCGCTTGATTGCAGAAGCTTAATTAATCACATATTGAACATATATAGGCCCTATAATGGCCCGCCCTAGGACCCGTAACTAGACCAGTATGAAAACACTAATTTATGTTAATCATACTTTGTAAACATACAATGAATAGCAGCGAAAACCAAGACTTCGTTTTCGGAACAGTGCCGATTTTCCCAATAAAAATTGAAATTCTTCTTCACATCAGTATTATCATCGCCATCGTGTTAAATATCATCTCCAAGAAATGACCCTAATAAAAAAAACATGCACAGTTTTAAGGTCAGAAAATTTCCCGACTTTGAATACCAGTCTAGAAAGGTGTTTTATAAAAGCGATCAAATTTTGCGCACAGCCTTAAGAAATCTTTGCTCTCTGTCCACTGTACGATTCCGACTAAATCATGAGCATGTGTCTTTGATACACTATCAAGAATCGTTAATAACAGGTGTTCGTGATAAGGTAAGTCTATCCAGCCTCACCGACTGCAAACACATGAAAGTCAAGGTTAAACCAATTGTTGCTTAAAAATCTGAACATCAATCTGATATGATGTTCGAATGTGTTGAGGCTTCCGAATTAGAATTTATAGGGTGTTATATAACGTATATATTTTGCCTGGAAAGCAGGGTAGCCATGATTAAACCCCACCTTGTAAGCATAACCCCCGAATTATTCATCGTTTTAAGGCACCAGAGACGACCACGAATTAATACTTGGAAATATGTGTGCCACCATCACGCCTGGATCCAAATCTGGTTGTGTGCTTAAATTCTAGCTGTCTTACAAATGAACAGAAGAAAGTGATGTCTTCCTAAATCAATATTTTCTTGCACAATGTTTTTCTATTTCCCGTAAAAACACTTCAAGCAACGCTTATCTTACATGAACTATCATTCAAAGATCAATCAAATCTTTAAATAGGATTTAGAAGCTGTAATATCGATAATAGCCAGCTTGGGTTTCATTTTATACCTTCTTAATGTTGTCAATACCTATGAATCTCAACTTTGTTTTTCTTCTTATGCAAGAATGTTGAAATCCATAAATGAATGCTGTCTTCATACGTGAGGCATATATGGTTTCATTGTTCAACACTACGATATGCACATGCAAACATATAATGTGAAGCTATAACACCAACATTTATGGAAACTACCATCTGGAAAAGTCATTATATGAAGCTATATATTAAAAATATAGTTTTCCCTTTATTATTTTAAGCCGGTTAAGCCAACCGTCAACACGTATTACATTTCATCAACAGCTTTACATGCGGGGCTGTCTATCGGAGTTGATAGC